AAATGTCAGGTACAGGTGGATGCCGTCAATAAAATTAATAGTGTAACACAGAACACTGTATGTAAACTGTGACCCAGGAGCCACATCCAGTGTGCAGCCTGTTTTTGAACAGTCTATGACTTAAGCACGTGCTTTTGCATTTTAAAAGGTTGAAATGAATGAAAACAAGGTTTCCTGGTGCATAAAATTAAAATTGTCATGTCTCTAAAGTTCTGTTGGGGCTCACCCCCACCTGCATGATCTCTGGCTACTTTCCCAACCCTGAAAGTTGCACTTCTGAGCTCAGCTTACCTTCCACCAGCCACTCTAGTTCTTTGGCTCATCCTCAGAATATCCAAGCTATTCCCTCTTCAGTCACTACCCTGATGATGACCTCTGCCTGCTTCACTTCTTTCAGTACTGTGCACAAATATAACTGAATTAGAAGAATCTCCCCCTTTATCTCATTCTGTGTCCTCTCCTTCATTTGAGTGTTTTTCATTATTACTGTTCCTGACATGTTACCGATTTGCATATTGTCCACTTCTACCAAGCACAATCAAAATATGCATTCCAAGAGAGCTGAAATAGTTATTTCTCGCTGCATTCTCAGATCCTACACACAGTAGATACTCAATAAATACCTGCTGAAAAAAAATAATGAGTTATCAAATATTGGAAAGTTGTAATGAGAGATACAGGACAGTCTTTATGAGTTAGGGCATCTTAGCCAGCCAAGGCTTTCATGATGCTGAAGATGCCCCAGAATGCCTTTGATTTATAATGCTTTAGTATCTTAGACTATAAGAACGAGAAGCAAGAGAGAGAAAAATGGATTTGCCACCATAAGTACAACCTAAGCAAAATTGCTCATTTTATTGATTCCTTTCATCCCATTTCATTCCCAATTATGCTAAACTCCCACTCTCTGCTCCTATCATATGATAGAAATGAGTTATACGGGATGGAGAGATGGCTCAGGGGTTAAGAGTATTTGCTGATGTTGCAAAGAACAGTTTGGTTCCCATTAGCCAAGTTAGGTGGTTAACAACTACTGGTAACTCCAAATCTAGGGGACAGAGCACCCTCTTCTGGCCTCTGCAGGTACCCACACTCATGTGCACACTACACACACAAAAAGCTTAAAATGAAATAAATCTCTCTAAAAAAAAAAAAAGAGCTGACCCCTAGATATTGCTCAGGAACAATTTTATTGTCCTTTGTATACCTATTTCTCTACTGCCTTTGTCCAACTGTGGAAATATTTGTGTCTGAGAGATCCAGGTCTTTTACCAAGGGTTCTTTTATGGGACCATTTGTATATACAAATACCTTGTTTCTATTTCACAAATTATCTTTGTGATGTTTATAGCAACATTTTATTCACAGGTGTTAAGTCAGGATTTTTCAATTTAAATGAGCCATACAAGGAAGTATTATACACAGGATGTAAGGTTCTATTGTATCTTGGGTACTACAATATCTTAGAGTGATATAAAAACTCTTACTGAATTCACAGCAAGACAGAAAAATCAGACAAGAGCTCACTGGCTCGCCTGACTAGCAGCAAAGCCAGGAAACTCTCCTGCAAGTTATTTCCTAGACCATTTCAAGAGAAGTCAAATGGCATGAAGGTGATGAAGTCTTGTGAGCCATGTGGATTTGGGACTTATTCCAATCTGATGTAGCACTGAATGACTCCATCATCTAACAATACCCTTCTATACACATTACAATGCCTAAAAAGATAGTACAGAGTGAAGCTGAAGAAGAAAGAAACTTTCAAGAGTTCTGGAAGCTATCATGACTTAGAATTAATCCTCTATTACCATACCGACAGGGCTTCATAGCACCATGGAAAAGATGTATAGAAGCTAACTTCATCAGTAATTATAATGACTTCCAACATACCTGGTGACAACAATTATTTATTAGATCAGCCAGAAACCATGCTGTCTAGAAGGACATGTTGAATGGCAAGAGCATACAGCTGTTGGTAATTATTTACTAAGTGTCTAGAGGGTACAATATTGTGATTAGATGTATAACAAACTGTTGTAAAGTGCACACCTTGAGGAACTATCTCTGTTAATCTCAAATGTATAAAGGGCTTGAGAAAATAGAACTTGAAATAAACCCCACACCTGGTCAGCAATCTGATTTTATTAATGAGTCAATCAGGGTTTTTTTTTTAACTTAAAATTTTTTTTGAAGATTTATTTATGTGTCTGGGTATTTTTTTTGAATGTATGTTCACCACATGTGTGCCTGGTGTCTATGAGGTCAGAAGGCATCGGATCCCCTGGAACTGGTGCTAGGGATGGTTGTGAGCCACTGGGAACTGAACCTGAGGCTTTTGTAAGAGAAAGAAGTGCTCCTAACCACTGAGCAATCTCCCCAGATCTTTGTTTTGCAAAGAAAATGTTAAGATTTCTGCAAAGGTTTTCCTCAGCTCACACTTTCCAAGCATTGTTGACCCCAAACAGCTAGTTTTCCAAGCATAAGCTGCAAGACTAGTGAAATAAGGATGTCTTTCACTCAAATGGCATTAAGTACAATTGTCCTAGGTGGTAGTAGCCATCTGCATGATTATAGTAGAAGAAAAATGTTCACAGATTCATAGAAGTGTACCATAGTCTCTGCCTGTCTAAGCTGAAAAAAAACAAAACAAAACAAAAAACCAAACAGGACAATTCTCTAAGCTAGGAAGTAAAGTTCAGACCAGGGAAGGGGGCAACATGGAAATAGATTTGGCATCACAGCCATTCTGGGACAGATGTGGTCAGAAAAGGGAGCATGGAGAAAAGCATGTTCTCATAGACTTAGGACTGAGGAGGACCACAACGATTGTATAACAAATGAACATTCTTATAACTAAAGCAAAAACTAATCAGTGTTAATGTCCTAATCCATTACTACTCTGAATATATTTTTATGCTAAATTTTAATTTAAACAAGAAAATATCCATGTTAAGAAATAGATTTCATCTAGTATCCATTTATGAATGAGTACATACCATGTTTGTCTTTCTGAGTCTGGGTTACCTCACTCAGGATGATTGGAGGAGGTGGGAATGGGGGTTGATTGGGGGGGAAGGGCTGGGGAGTGGGAGGAAGGAGGACGAGGGAATCCATGGCTGATATGTGAAATTAATTATAAAATAAAAATATTTTTTTAAAAAGAAATTTTTAAAAAGGCAGTGGTGGCACACGTCTTTAATCCTAGCACTGGAGAGGCAGAGGCAGGTAGATCTCTGAGTTTGAGGCCAGCTTGGTCTGTAAAGTAGATGCTAGGATAGTCATGGTTATTTCATAGAGAAACCCTATCTCAAACAAAACAAAACAACAAAAGAATTCTTTGGTTTTGCTTTCTCTTGAAGAGGTGGGGAGGGGAAAGAGAATATATAAAGCAAAATGATGTCTGTCGTTCTGTCTCAGAACCCAGTCATGCGTAGTCCCAAACTTCTATTTAACTACAGGCAACACTTTCTTCACCTAAGAGACAATCTAATTTAGCTGGGAGCTGGGTGGCTCTAAACTCCCTGGATGTAGCTTCGCTGTTCAAAGGGAAAATAGGTCACGTAAGAGAAACACTGAGAGGCATGTTAGTAAACACAGACTGCACATCGGCCATCTGTTAGGGCATGTTTTCGGTCCCATGAAAATGCAGTCACTTTCTTCCATTGCCCATTCAAGAAATTTCAATGGGAGAAGTAACTTCAAAACATGTAAAATTTCACTGTGCCCGGGACACAGGGAGGATTCTGGTAGCTGTGTCTATAAAAGAGTCAATTCTAAACATTGAAAACTTCACTGGGGAATAGGGTTGAAGACTAGTGTTAAGTGAAATGTTGAACAGCATTGTGCTGGGGTAGAAAGGTTTCCTGCCTAGCAGCCTGCACCTTTCAAGCTTTGCAAGTCCCAAATGTACATGGCAGAAAGGACCGTCCTCAGCTCTACATGACTGCCACCAGCCTTGATGTTGGATCCCCATCTCAGGCTGTAGGTGAAAGGAAATCCACTGTAAATGTGAATCCCAGTGCCAGGAGCCTTTGAGTCTTGCCCTATGAAGCTTGGGTGCAGATTTAGTACCTGATTAATGACTACATGCATATGGTGCTTTCCATGCAAACTAGTTAACATCCTTATGAACTATTTTCTGCTCTGGGAGTGGAGATATGTCCCCCTATTGAAAATGCATGCCACAAAGCTCAAGTCCACATCTGATTTCTGTCTGGTCATAGCCAGAAATTTCTGAATCAGTCATGATTTAGTAGTATTGCAGTCAAAACAATTACATCTGAGTCCTTTTCAAAAAAATAAAAAGGCTTTAAAATACACAACATTGAGTGACAATGTTGTTCTGGCCATCAGTAGCACCCTAGGTCATCCTTTTTGCATTGTTCTCAATTTCTTGGGCTGTCCTTGATGCTTGCTCATAGAACCAAAGATTTGCCAACTGCTTAATTTTATACACATTTTCAAAAGCAGACGCACAAGAACAAAAACAGACTCTAAGAAAACTTTTTTTCCCTGGTTGGTAGCGATTGGTAATTTGCAGAACCAGACAGAAAACATCCATGAAAAGCACTGTGATTTTCAATTTACAGAAGAAATTACTCAACCTTGCTGCTCACAACCAACCTAAAAAGCAACAGCCCATAAACTTGTGTGTGTCATAAAGACGAATCCCAGCTTCATCAGAAGCCACTGTGCCATCATCAGGCAAAACTGGGAGCAAACGTTCCCATGCCATGTCAAAAGTTTCCAGAATGCTTGTGTGCTATTCCCATTCCAAATACACACAACACATAAAAAACAATCATACAAATTTTCTCACACATAAACATTTTCATACACTCATGGCAAGAAGATGATTAAGTCCAAGAAACAAAGCAGTCACTAATACAGGCAGGCTAAGCCTGAGCTTTTATATTGTTTTAACCACAGTGAGGGCAAAGGACTTTTTCTGTGAAAACCAACAAAAAGAAACATTACGAAAAAAAATCGAGCTCACCTACCTTCACTGGTCCATGTTCACTATTGAAGCCCTGCACCAGGTACACGTAGGACATCATGAGAATATTCACCACTGCCCACTCTCTATACATTTTGAATATTTTAAATGTCCACTGATGACTAAGCAGTTGATACCAGGCAGCTACTAAAAAGTGCTGCAAGACATTCTCCAGAAGCAAAGTTCGAAACCCCACAACTTTACAAGGAAAAATCACATGATCAGTTGTAATCAAAATCCAATGAAATGACTTGAGTTAGTCAAGGGACACCCCCTGCCACACACAATCTTAGTATGAGAGAAAGACAAAAAAAAATTGTAAAGATTCCTGCTGCAAAAATAATCAGGAGGTGGCCATGTCTTCCACTTTAAGCTAGAAAATACTCTACAGTCATTTCATGTCCAGAAAGTTGAAAGAAAAAAATCCCCACTATGCCCTAGGTTGTGGCTGCTTTATAAAAGGAGGTGACCGACACTTGGAGCTCCAGCAGGCTGGAATCTAACTATGGATTAAAACTTTTTCACAATCTTCAAGGAAGCGCGCAGGAGCATGTGTCGTAAATCGGACACAGACTTTGGCAGAAAACTGCAGGGAAGTCTTGGCTGGAATCCTGCTGTGTCCCTCGCAATAGTGGGGCAGTTTTCAGAGCTGACTCACATGGTCAGGACTGCTGTGTTTCTTCAAGCAGATAACCTGTAACATGAAACCCAGAACAAAGTTCTGAAGGCTGGGAGGGCGGCTGAATTGCAGTAGGACAGTTTAAGATGCTCAGATAGCGGCCGCCAGTGACAGAAAGAAGGAAAACATGCTCGAAGGAAACCCCAAAAGGCAGAGACTAAAAGGGCATCTTCTCACATATAAAAAGCACATGTACATAAGCAATTGTTTTTAATAGCTTAATAATTTCCATCAAAAGGAAGAACATTGATTTTTAAAGAGGTAACAATTAGAATTATTTGCATGTACTACTACCATTTTTATTGTTTGTACTTTGCCTTTTTAAAATAGTTAAATCTGTTCTTTGACAATTTCATACATGTATATAATGCATCCTGATGACTCACTACAAAAACCACCTTTTCATTTTAATGTGGAATTCTTTTTTATTTTTTACTTTTGGGTTTTCAAGACAGGATTTCTCTGCGTAGCCCTGGCTGTCTTGGAACTGGCCTGTAGACCAGGCTGGCTTCAAACTCAGAGATCTGCATGTCTCTGCTTCCCAAGTACTGGGATTAAAGGCATGAGCCACCACCACCCAGCTAAATGTAAAATTCTTTAGAAGCATCAGCTAAACCAGCTTTGGAAATTGAATATACTGAATGGCCAGTCCATCCAAATGGCAGAATTTCAGCACTTCACAGGTTTCCAATCTTTGACTTCCAGGTTTTGGCCCCCTCAAAACCATTTTTTGCATTCCTGAAATCAAGAATGGCCTCAGAAATTTCTTCATTGGTGTTCATCACAAATGGACCTAGGGCAGAAAGAGACATTTACAAAGTTCTGGATGATAACATTTTCTTCTACCACTGAAGTGGTATGTATTACTTTAGTTCCTCATTTGAAACAAAATCTAGGCATATCTGGGCAGCAATGGTCTCTTTTCACAGCGTTCAGTCCTACAGGACTGTAATTGAGTTTTGTGGCTGGGACTGTGTATGAGTATAAGTTAGCATACAGACCAAACCTAGATAAACACGATTAGGTCTTACTGTCCACTGCAGGTTCCTCACCAGTCATGACGACCTCTTTATTCACACATTCTTTGTAGTTGTCATTTGTACAACATGAAGTGACGTCAGGAATGGAACCGACATGGTGTTATGAATCAGCTAGATCATAGCAGAGTTCTGGTGTCTGTCTAAGCAGTGGGTGGGGCTATGTATTTCTGGGATGGTTCTAAGTCTGTTTTGAAAACTAGCAGTATTTTCCTGACAACAAACAGGGGCTTGAAGTGCTTCTGAACAGCTTGTACACTAATAGTTCTTTTGCAGTTCCCCAGACGATACCTCCATGTGCCCTATAGCAACCACGGGTTGGGTCAAGTTTTTAAATTTGGCTAGTTTCTCCTTCCTGTCATGAGTCACTATCATGTGCTTGCATGAAAGGTGTTTTTATCTTCCTGTAAACTTTTCTGTTTCTGCTCCTATTGTCTTTCATTTTAATAATATCTTATTCACCCACCATTCCAAAAGGTACATCACACTAGTGTGACCATCCTCTTGCCAAGGACCACTGGCACCATCGCTTTAATAAATTTTACTAATAAATTTCAAGTCAAGAAGCACTTTTTTAAAAAAAAAAATATTCCTTAGAGTCAACTGATTTTTTATTCAGGAAAGGGCCTGGGATTGTATACTTTAGATTTTATGGGTCAAACGAATCAAATACTGAGTCAAGGACTGACCTGATATGCAATAATTTTCCTATGGTTTCCCCAGACAGAACCCCATGATTCTTATACCTCAACTCTTTTTCTGTAGTTCATTTCTATATTCGATTTTTGACACCATCCCATGTCTCTCAGTTTTATAAACTGTCCTTGGGTCACCTAAGACATTATGCAGAAAGGGGGGATGCCTTGAGTGAATGTCTATTATTGACAAGGACCAATGTCTCCAACTCATGGGAACCGGCAAAATCATAAGTCAGGCTCAGGAAATTGGCAAGTCTTCCTCTGGTTTGTGTGAGGACATGGCAGTGTATGCGAAAACTAATAACCACAGCTTCCTCATCCTGGATGATTGCAACCTGAGACTGCTCTCCTACAGAGACCTCCCACAGACAAGAGCTGACTCTCCCCCTGTGCTGGACATAATTCACTTGCTGAGGTTCTGGGTTGGTGCATAGTAGGCAGATCTCCATCAGATGAAGTACAGGCCACCCAATTCCAGCTTTCTCTATGTGTGTCTATGTGTCTGTCTTTTCATCACTCCCTTGTCACCCCAGTCAAATGTTCAGGGTTGTTTTGAAGATTAAATAAATTAACACTTGAAAAACACTCTGACTGATACTTAGTAAACAGTAAATGGTATGAAAGTATACGTTAAGAAAATGAAATGTCTGCATTTTTTTCCTCACTTGTAGGAGGGACATAACTCCACTAGAGTTAAGGTTCTTTTCTAATCCAACATGCTGTGACGTCTTTGCCTAATGTCTTCATTAAGAACCCTCAACGACAAGTGGAGCAGGGCATTAATAATTCACAGACATGCAACCAGTCCCCAAATACTCTCAAGATGTCTGTGGCTGCCTTTGAACATGAAAAGGTTAAAAAAAAACTTAAAAAGAAAAGCAAATTAGGCAAACCAAACAAAATGCTTTGTCTCTCAGTAACTGACAGTTCAAGAGACATCCATCTATTTTGTCTGATTAATGTGGGCTTGTGCTTACAAGAGCTCAGAGGCTCTGGAAGAGGATTTACATGCACAGTGCCTACGGTTTTGCTTTGCCATCTTCATTCAACTGGACTCTTGTTTCTCATTACTGCCAGGGAGGGAAGAGCCTAACATAAAAGGTTTTCATCCCAAACACTCTTTTCCTATACAAATTCCAGTCTATGACTAGATGATGACCCGACTCCATTTGTTTGTAGCTTTCTTTGCCAAAGAACAATTTTATTTAGTCCTGACAAAAGGAAGAAGGGGCTATGAACCTTGGGAGTGAAATTTTGAAGTGTGAAAAATTAACGTGAGATGTCACAAGCTGGGGGCATATGATTTAATATTCCCCCTAAATTACTGCTAGAACAAAAAATAATATTTTCTAAATATTCAGTGTTATTTAAATTTATGACTAGCTGGCTTATCTGAGATCATTGTGTATGCCTTGGAATTCATGCCAAAGTAATGGAATACAACGAGATCTTAAATCATGTCTAATTTAATGATTAGTGAACTGCACAGTATATTTTGCAGACAAAGGTATAAATAATAAATTGGGTTTGAGGTGTTTCTCATTTAATCAAATGCCAATGATACAAAGACATCAAGATCCAAAGTGATAATGTACCTGTGTCAGTATTTTTTTGCCTTCAACTATAGTAATACCTCTTCCATACAATAATTAACTCTATTTCTTTTTCTTTAAAAAATATTTATTTTATTCTTGTGTCTGTGTGTGTGTGTGTGTGTGTGTGTGTGTGTGCACATGTGCGCACGTGTGTGTACACGTGCATGTGCAGATGCCCAAGGAGGCCAGAAGAGGAAATTAGATGTTCTGGAGCTGGGGACTAAATTTGACTCCTCTGCAAGTGCAGCATGTACTGCTGAGCCATCTTCCCAGGCCCCCTCTATCGTAAAAATTTTCAAAGAAGTATTATTCCCAAGAGGCTCATATTTTTCACAAAAAATATAATAGATTACAAGGATGGTGTTGGCTTGAATATTGATCTTCCCCTCCACAATTCATATTGAAATCTGAGTGTCCTTGGGCAGTATTGGGAGCTGGGACCATCAAAAGGCAATTAGATCACAAAGATGAGGTACAAGTTTTTCCAGTGGGTAAGTTCTCAATCTTGTGGGACTGGCTTAATTTTTTGGTTCAGAGAGAGACTGGCTTTATTACCACGACAGCAGATTGTTATGAAGCATATCTACTCCTCAAGTTTTGTCTCTCAGGAATATAACCATTCACCTTCTACTATCTGTCCAGAGTTGAAACAACATGAGGCTTTTCACACACACACACACACACACACACACATGTTGTTGGACTTCCAAGCCTTCAGCAATGCCTACCAAAATAAATTTCTTTTCCTTAGAAGTTACTCGGTCTCGTGTATACTATTATAGCAACACAAAACAGTATCGAAACCATTGTTATTTTAGTTAAATGATATTCATGTCCCTAGTGGACAACGAAGACTTTTTTCCCTTCAAGTTGAAAACCCTTATGACAAAATCAAAGAGTTTTCATTCTTCCCACAGATCTAAGATCAATCTATTACACATCATAGGTATTTAGAAAATGTCTTTTTTCAAAAAGAGATGAGTGTAGACATAAACATCATGTACATATTTTCCTCTGAAAATAGAGAAATGACTTCCTAGTAATACCACACACACACACACACACACACACACACACACACACACACACACACATCAAAGGAAAAGAATTTCAGCCAGGAAAACCATCAAAATTTTGGACTTACCATGTTGGACAACTGGTTCTCTTAATGGCTCCCCAGCAATTAAGACAAAATGGCTTTTTTGGGGGTCCTAATGTAATCAAAGAAGGCATCAAATAATGAATACATTTATTTTTTAATGTCAAATTGGACACAATTATAGCTAACGTAGAAGTTAAGTGGATGGAGATACGGGAACATTTCCTCTGTAGTCCTTGCTATGGGAATGTCTATTCCTTAGGATGGTTAATATCCTAGCTAGCAACCAGAATTCAGCACTAAGTCCAGGTTACCTATATATTAACATCTGTAAATTAAAGAAGGGAAATTGTAGTTAAAGTGTTCTTTGTGTTTGGGTGTGTATGCAGGACCACATGTATATGCATGTGTGTGGAGGCCAGAGGTCTTTGTCAAGTGTCTCCGTCAGTAGCTCTTCACCTTATTTTTGGAAACAGGGTCTCTTACTAAAACCCTAGCTCACCCCTTGCCTAAACTGACGAGCCACACACTCCAGGGATCTGCCTGTCTTGGCTTACCTCCTGTGTAGATTCACAGATATATGCTATCACACCCAGCCTTTTACATGGGTGCTTGGGGAACCAGCATCAGGTCCTCATTCTTGTTACTCAGGCAATTCACTCACTGAGCCATCTCCTTATGGTCTTCCTTAACAGAAACATCTTCACAACGAAATATCTGAACTAGCTTTTTTCTCATTAACAAAATCATTTTTTTAAAAATTTTATTATCTTTCCTTTTTATTTTAAAAACTTTTTCATACAACAGATTTTGGTCATCTTTCCCCTCCCCCATACCCTACTTTCTCCCTATCTATATAATTTCATGTTCTTTCTTTCTCTTAAAAAAAATCAAACCACTCCCCCAAAAAAGCACGCACACACACACACACACACACACACACACACACACACACACACACACAAATACATGGAGTCCATTTTGTGTTGGCCAACTAATCCTGAGCATGGGGCCTGGCCTAGAGTGTGGTTGAAATACCCATTGTCACTCCACTGAAGAAAACTGATTCTCCCTCTTCCAATAGCTATCAAATGCAAATAGATTCCTGGTTGGTGGTGAGACTTTGTGCCCACTTTCCCCTTTCCGTGTTGGGATTGGTCCCACTAAAACTTGTGCAGGTCATATGAGTGCTGTCACAGACTCTGTGAGTTCATATGCACATCAACCCTGCTGAGTCTGGAAGACACTGTTGCCTTGGAGTCCTCCACTGCCTCTGGCTCTTACTTCACTCATATTCTAATAATATAGCATCTTTCTAAATATGCAAAACTATCTTAAATTATACCAAATATTTATACATGTCTACTAATGCAAAGCTCTATTATCTTAAGTTACATAAAATATTTATGTGCTTCTACTAATACAAAGCTCTTTAACTTGAAATAATTCCAATGTCTAGTCTCAGAAGATTTACCACTGGAATCAACAAAATTAATACTTAACCTTTTCTTCTTCTGTAAATTTAATAAGCTGCAATATTTCAAAGGTCTGAAATGTGTTTATCTTTTTGGCTTCAATTGAAAATAAATTAATAGCCAGGCAATGGTATGGTGATATTTTATTTGTGCTGAAATGTGATTTTATTTGTATGTTAATAAATAAAAGTGCCTGGGGGTCAGAGCTAATAGCAAGCCATAGCAGAAGTCTGGCAGTGGTAGCACATATCCTTAATCCCGATCACATGACAGGCAGATCTTTGTGTGTTCAAGGACACCACCAGCATGGAGACACACGCCTTTAATCTCAACACCAACCATAGAAGACCCGGAGGTCTGTATAGACAGACAGTGACGAGGAGGTCATGTGGTTGGGTTTACAACCAATGAGAAGGCAGAACAGAAAGTCAATAAAAAGACAGATACACAGGAAGTAGGCCTCTGTCTCAGGGGAAGGACGGCAGCGGCAGCGAGTGGTAAGAAAGGGTTTTTAGTATCAGCTCTTAGCTACTGCTCTGACCTCTTAGGCTTTTAACTCTGCATTTGGCTCTGTGTTTCTTATTTAATAAGACCATTACATCTACACAATGGTGTTGCATGCCTTTAATCCCAGCACTTGGGAGGTAGAGGCAGGTAGATCTCTGTGAGTTTGAGGCCAGCCTGGTCCACAGGGTAAGTCTAGGACAGCCATGGCTATACAGTTAGAAACCTCGTCTCGAAAACCCAAATAATAATGATAATAATAAATGCAAATTAAGTAAGAATGCATGGCAGAATGGTTTCATTTTTTTTATTTTTATTTTTATTTTTGCTATGGGAGTGTGTTTGAAAGGATACATCTTCAAAAGTCTTAATGTATTACTCCCTATATCTGAGGGCTGGTAGAATTTCATACACACACCTGGTTGATGTTTTAATTACTTCTTCACATATAAGAAATACATGTCAGGTCTGGAAAGATGGTTCAGCAGTTAAGAGCACTGGTTGCTTTTCCAGAGGACCCAGGTTCAATTCCCAGCTCCCATACGGCAGCTCACAACTGTCTGTAACTCCAGTTCCAGGGGATCTGACACCCTCATACAAACACACATGTCAGCAAAACACCAATGCACATGATACAAAAATAAATAATTTAAAAAAAGAAATATATGTGTAAACCTTCAGTCTGTAATTTTCTAAACATCATGGTCTTACTGACTCACATAATCCAGCTCACTATCAAAATGCACACAAATGTTAACCGAGCTGGAAATCAGTCATTTGAAAACAGATGTCTCACGCACTAAAATTCTTTCTTTGCTGTAGGCACAGATCTTCATCCACTCCCTATTGACTCTTGCTTCTGCACAGTCCTAAGAGCTAATCATTGTGCTTGTTCTAGATTGCTTCTCTGGTAAAACATTGGCCAAAGCCAACTGGTTTATTTGGGTTACAGTATGTCATAGATGGAAGCCAAGGCAGGAACCTGGAGGCAGGAACCTGGAGGCAGGAACTGAAGCAGAGGCCACAGAGGAAGACTGCTTACTGGCTCACTTCCAGGCTCACGTTCTGCTCTCTCCCTCCCCACTTCCTTCCTTTCTTCCCTTAGAGTTAGTTATTTTATGTGTATGAGTGCTTTGCCTGCATGTATGCCTGTGACTACACATGCCCGGTGCCCACAGAAGTCAGAGGGGGCATGGGATCTGCTAGAACTTGAGTTCCAGATGGTTTTGAGATGCCATGCGGCTGCTATGAACCTCAACCAGAGGACTTCTGCAAGAACAGCCAGTGCCCTTAGTGGCTGAGCCTTCTCTCCAGCCCCTCTCCTCCCTTTCTTACCAGCTGAGGCCCACTTGCCTAGAGATGGTTGTGCTCACAGCTAGGGCTCTCTTACCTCCTACATCAACCAGAAATCCAGAAAATAACCCACAAACGTGTCCACTGGCTAGCATGATGGAGGTGATTCCTCAACTGAGGTTTCCTCTTCCCTGGTGTGCCAAGTTGACAACCAAGATTAGCCATCACAATGGTTGTTCAGTCTGTACAACATTCAGAGATCCAAGGAAAGGAGGCACTGTTTTGCCACATCGCATACCAAAATTCCACCAGATTCTAGGGCTGCTCGTGGTGTTTGTGGTGAGCTACTGGCTGACACAGCTGGGCAAGCTTTTCATCTGGCTTGAGCTCTTCTTTTTTGTTTCCAGTGTGATGTGTAAATGGCTAAGACCTCAATAACAACTCATTATCACAAAGGACTTATTCTCTAAGGGGTTTGGAGAGGTGAGGTTTTAGGTGAAAAAGAGACATGGGACAGAAGGTCCCAACTCTTTAGGTGTTTGGTTTGGTTTGGCCATGGCCAAGGCAACAAACTTAATTTGCAGGGTCAGCAAGTGGAAGAGAAGGGGTTAATGGAGCAGAGAAGAAAGACTGGCCTCTATGTAATGTACACTGTGACTCTTCAGAATGGAAGTTTCCCAATCACAAGAGAGGCCTTTGGGGAGTAATAAACATGCCCTGTTTCCACACTGTGAAATGAGAAAGTGCTAAAAAAAAAAAAAGGCCTTGCTCTTTTATATTACTCAAATAAAATGATGACTTTCCAATTATTATTTGGACCGCATGATAAAGGGACACGTGCATTTTGTCTGAAATGAGAAACTATGAACCTTTTAGGAGTTAGAGAAGTTTCCCATCATTATAAGACCCTGGAGGTTTCTGCTCCAAACTTCTTTCAGTGACTTTCCTACAGATTTACCATCTGGGTGGCCCCTTCTTTAATCTAAGCCAGATCTCTTTTCTGCCTCTTGCTTTTCAATTTTTTTACATTGTTTATTTATTGTGTGCAGGGGATGGTGCATGTGTACCATGGTATGTATGTGGAAGTCAAAGCAGCGATTCTGATAGTTGGTTCTCTTCCTCCACTGGAGATTGAACCCAGGTTACCCACTGACCCCCTTCCCTGTGCCCTTGTTTTTCATTTGTTAACTAGCCTTTAGCAAAAACCTAATCGCCTCGCTAGCTATTTAGTAGCGTGCTAATGTAGTTCAAACTCCCAGTAGAAATTTGTCATCAATAGTGTCAAAGGATGAAAGTCATGCAAGAGCAAAGAGGATGAGAGACAAGTCTAAGACAGTCAGTCTGTAGGTGCCTCTAGGCCAGTGCCTTTATGAACACTGATTTCAAATCCTCCTGCAATGTACTAGAGGCCCAGATGATTGTTTCATGTATAATGACTCCATCTCCAAAGCAGGACCTCTGAGAGTCTGGCTCCTGCCTTTTGCTTTGGTGTGTCTTCTGCGGTTCTTGGTTCCTAGTTAAGTCTTTTGCATCTTCCTTAAACACTGAATTTCAAAAATTGCCCTTGGGGCCAGCAAGATGGTCGGCAGTTAAAGGTACTGGCCACCGAGCCTGACAGCCCAAGTTCTATTCCCAAGACCCACATGGTGGAAGGACAGAACCGACTCCTATGAGCTGTTCTTTGACCTCCATAAGTGCACCATAGCACATGCATGTGTGCTCACCCCACACTCAGTGGTCACTAACTAAATAAAACAAAATAGATAAGTTGCTTTTGATACCCATAACAGTTACAGCCTGGGCATATGCTGTGTCTCATGGAGACCAACAATACATGATCAAAGCCTAGAGGAAAGGCCCAGGGGTCATTTAATGTGTTGATAACTTCCAAATTATGAGTCTGCAACTCAGTTCAACTGATTACAAACCCGAAGACTGCAATAAGAGCAGAATGGTATTGCTTCTCACCCTTTGGGCTAAGATCAAGTGTAGAGCAGAATGGTGGGAATGAAGCTGTGGCATGCCTTTTGACTACACCCCCATTTACTACTGTGATGAATTGCCTGGAAAAATTAGCAGAAAGAAACTGAACTGCAGCATGAATTAATTGCATGCACTTGCTCTTTCTAAACTTCACTGTTTTTCCTCAGGGTGTCAATGGAAAGATCAAGCAGTAAACTGTTCTCAGTTAAAACAAACAAACAAACAAAAAAACTAGCAGTCCTTTTTATCATGAACTCTTACACAGACTAAAGCAAATCACTGTCGTTAACTTCCATAGAGTGCTTTGTTTCATTTCTGTTTCAGTGGTTTTTTTCATCAAATCATTTGAATGAGATATGATGGCCGTTGACAGTTTAAGAGCATGGTTGTCCTCAACCACTGTTTCCACGACAGTGTGCACCTACCTCAGTCCACTTACTACAGATGAGCTTGCTCTCTTCTAGGAATTCGGAACAACATGGGTCTAAAGATTCGATGGAATTATCTTTCTTAGTGCACTCTGGTGCTTCTAACCATGGGTCCACTAGAGCAACCATCACTCAGAAGAAAACTCCAGCACACCAGTTGCAGGCCAACCAAACTCACAGAGGGAGCTTTTGAAACAGAGGCAGCTTGAGGGTAACCTGAACTAGTTCAGGATTGTGTGTCCAGAACAGCTTGTGGTCGATTCCAATCTCTGAGAACTTTGAAATATTTGAATTCATTATAAAGGCCGTATGATTTGGGCTTTGTCCATGAAGTCAAAGGGTCTGGCCCAAAGACTTTCAAGCCTGGTATAAACCAGGGCCACTGTCATTGTTAGGTGTTACAGAAGACTTAAGAATAATAGAATGGGCTGGGGAGATGGTTCAATGGTTAGAGCACTTGCCATACAAACATGAGGACTGAAGTTTGCATCCCCAGGGGGGGGAAAAAGAAAAAGCAATAATGGAAAAGGCAATCTATTCACTGAGGAGGGAAGTTTAGGTTTTCATGGGCTAGCCCACATTAGCCTGAGATAGATCAAATAAATGATAAGATGGCACAAAGGAAACTGAGGTGTGGCTTTGCACATCATTTTATTCTTAGCTTCTTCTCCTACCCCACAGATTAGTCACTCTAGAGGAATGGCCCATACTCTGGTCCCCAAAGGAGATGGGCATGATGGTGGCGGGCATGGGGTGAGGTGTACTGAAACTGCAAGCAGATCAGGGCTAAATGAAAGTTAGGTGCCAAGTAGGTTCCTTATTCTAAACCATAACCCAGTGCGTCTTTCTTGTCAGAATTCTCAGGGCCTTTTCTAAAATTTTTTAATTTATTTTTAAATTTTATTTTATGTGCATTGGTGTTTCCACCTTCATATCTGTCCCTATGAGAGTGTCAGATCTTGGAGTTATAGACAGTTGTGAGCTGCCATGTGGGTGCTGGGATTTGAACCTAGGTCCTCTGGAAGAGCAGTCAAGTGCTCTTAACTGCTGAGCCATTTCTCCAGCCCCAGGGCCTTTTCTAAGAAGTGAACATTGTTATGTGGGACTTGAATCCTTATCAGAGAATGCATGTGTGAGTGTGGTAAGCCGGGTACTGTCAGTAGCTTCATTTCCCCTTCCATTACTGGGTACTTCCACTGTACTACCCCAGGGACTGACAAACTTGCTCTGTAAAGGGCTGGAAGTCTTAGGCTTTGTTAGGTCGTTCAATCTCTGCCATAACCGACTTCTACCCACACAGTGGAAGGATCCCCAGAAATGAACGCAAGTGACAGTGGACCAAGAAAACACAAAAAAATGTATTTGGATCTGGCCCATTGGACATCATTTGCTGACCTCTATGCTAGATCTGGAACAGATGCTGGCAGAGGTAAGCCTGCTTCATTTGAATAATCCTAACAGTTGGTTGGCTTCCATTATTTCAATTTTGCAGACAAACGAAATGAAGCCTGGGCCAGGGAGACAGCTCAGTGCATTTGCTGCCAACCTGGATGACCCAAGCTTGATGCCTGGTCACCACACCTGAAAGTTATCCTCTGGGATCCATATGCATGCTGTGGCCTGTGCACTCCCGCACACATACACACAAGTAAATAATAACTGTAAAAGAAACGAAGCCACCGAAGCACAAAGCCATTTAGAAACATGTCCACAGTCTCATACCCAACAAGAGGCAAAGTCAAGACCCAAGCCTTCGCAGCCTCTATCCTCTTGTAAAGAAAACTTCTGACTTTCCTACACACATACAACCTCTTTACATAACAGTTCTTTTCAATACAGATTTTCATTCTAAAGTCGTCATGACCACATGAACAATGACAGAACTGCATACAACAGTAACAGGATGCCCCCGGGTCAGGGATGCCCCATTGCCAATGAACGAATCCTTATTTTTGTCTAAGCTATCCTCTGACCTGCAGGTTCCCCCATCACTTCTTTCAATTAGACCTTCTAAACTCTTATCTGCAGCGTGTTCTCTGTGACACAATAGGAAGAACTGAGGTTGCCAAATGAATCCAGACCCGACTAGAAACTAATACATCAGCAAGTTCTGGGCTGCGAATAATTTTCATGCCTTTTTTCTGTACTGGGTTGAGATATGTGAAATTGCTTTTTTTGAAAGTCAAACATGGAAATTTCCTATGGTTTGACATAAAATCCGAGGGCACAGGCCTGAGATATGCATTTTTTCTGGTGTTCCTGAGATTGTGTTTTGTTCCATTTATTGTTCATAGAGGGGCTGCTGTTGATCAAGGCAGCAGAATGTGAGCTGTCAGTAAATTGGACTGGAATCTAAAATCGCCTGCAGTCCACTGCATTCTATGATAGCAGGGTCAGAGGGCGAGAAGTGTGTCAGACTGCCTCTTCCTTGGTCAGCTGCTGCCCAAACAGTTCTTATTCCTGCTTTTCAAAATGTACCTGTCCAGGAACTTGTACACAATTGTCTCCTTAATCTTCCTCACTGGAGTGACACAAAGCAGTCAGATTGGCTTAATGGGCTCACAGAGTCAATTGCTCAGTGGGATGTAACAGACATGAGAAAGAACCAAAAAATGTCCCAAGAGACCTAAAACTTAACTTGAAAAGCAGAGATTCTCATTTCAAAGAACTATGAAACACATCACATGCTTTTCTTAGCTCCAAATGGGGATGATTCTGAAAGGGCTCTTTGTGAGCATGCAGATCTGGACTTATATTCCTAGAGGACTAGCCTAGTTTTACTTATGCTAAATAAAAAATAAATCAGTTTTGTGACAGAGTAATATTAAAAAACAATGAAGATGCATTGCCTCTAGATTCAAATGTTTAGGGGGAAGCAATACAGACAGTAAGCAATATAGACGTTTACATGATTGCCGAAGGCAAGAGATGAATAGAGATGAAAGTTTGAAATATTACCAATAGAAAGCTCAAAATAGAGCAATGCAATCAGCAGATTAGTAAAAGGGTTTGATAAAATAGTGGCAGAATTTATTTCCCAAAGAAGAGAAGAAGTTTCCAGTTTTATGAGAGATTGAAGCCTTTTCATGGAAATTAGTAAAAAGTATAAGCTAAGAAAATTAAAGGGGAGGGAGGAGAAGATTGTAAGAGCCAGAGGCAGTGGATGTCTGTAGTAAGACTATTTCCTGGACATGATGGGCTATTGCACATATGAATTCAAAGAAGCTGAGACTCCATGCACATGACCTACACAAGATCAAGCTAGACAAAATCCCATCATGAATGGAGGGTGGGCCATGAAGTCCCACCCCTACCCAAGGATCTATTGGCAATTGATGGCTGCTGTGGGTGGGAGAGTTAGTTTGCTTTAGGAATGCAACCTCTAAGAGGCTGCCCATGCTCCAGAAGATGGTCCTACACAGATGCACGTACAGACAGCATGCTAGGTAGACTTGGTGGGTTAAAAACAGAGACAGTACATGGAGGACTACTGAGAAGGAATAGTATGGGAGAGGGGAGTAAAGGAAGGGAAAGAAAGGAAATGGATTCATAAAACTCTCAATTTTAAAAAAGAAAATTAGATGTTTGGGGCTGGGTTAATGGCTCAGTTGGTAAGAGCTCTTGTTATTCAACCATGAGAATGTGAGTTCAAATCACAGTCATCCACATAAAAAACTGTGTGATCACTCATACCCATAACCCCCAAGCTTGGGGGGTGTATACAGAAACAGCCAGGTTGCCTAGATGCAATAGTGAGTTTCAGGTTCAGAGACAGACCCAGGACTGGACACCCTCCCTTGACCTTGGCCTCTGCATGTGTGTGAATGGGCATGATCACACACACACACACACACACACACACACACACACACACACAGGGGGGGGAGACAGAGAGACAAAAAATTATAAGTTTAAAATACCTTATTTTCCACCTGGACACTGTCACCTTCTCCAAGCACCGCTGTGTGATGGGGTTCTATCTTTTGCTGAGCACCATCAGGTCCTACAACAAAAGATGACCCAGTAACTTTGGTGATTGTTAGAGTGCATCCATCCAATGCCCACACTTTTGGTCAACTACTTAGCACTATAATACTTTATAGTTTCAGAAATAACAGACGTAGGAAACCTTGAATTTCTGGGCTGTTTACATCTGCTATTACTAAAGGCTAAAACTGATCGGTTTTTCAATGTAGGAAACAGCAGGAAAGTGAACCCTGCATCATGCTTCCATTTATACTCTTAATTCCATGACCAAATGTTTTCATTGACCCTTTTTTTTATTTTGTTTTGTTTTTGGTTTTTGATATAGGGTTTCACTGTATGTCCCAGGCTGGCCTCGAACTCACAGAGATCCGCCTGCCTCTGCCTCCTGAGTGCTGGGATTAAAGGCGTGTGCCACCATCACCCGGCTTTCATTGACTTTTAAAAGCCCTTGGAATTACATGTTCATAAAAGTGTTCTCTTGTGTAAAATACAAACCTCATAAGAAGCCAGCAGACCTAGAAAAATGATCAAATGTCATCAATAATTCATTTCAACAAGAATTTACTGAGCATCTCCTCCAGCTCTCAAGAACTAGAGAAAAAAATGCAAAGATGTGCAAAGTAGATTCCTTATATCTAAATAATTCAAAATGTTCTTGGAATCAACCAAATATAAGCACATGCAATTATCAGAGAAGAATTCAACTGAAAACTAAATGAGTCAGATAGCATCTTATTGCATAATGAACAAGGTCTGATTCTAAACCATCTCGAGGTGGGGTGCCAAACCCTTTGGAGGGTGGGTGCTTTCTAAACCCTCTGGAGGGAGATGCCTTCTTTTTGTTTTATAATTTTTTTATTTAAAAAATTTCTTTCCTTTTACATACCAACCCCTGCTCCCCTCCCTCCCCATCTCTCACTCCCCCCGCATCTATCCCCCATCCCAACCCCATCTCCTCCTCAAAGAGGGTAAGGCCTCCCTTGGGTAGTCAACACAAGCCGGCATACCAAGTGGGGGCCGGACCTAGCCTTTCCTTCCTGCATCAAGGCTGAGTAAGGCATCGCACCATAGGGAATGGGCTCTAAAAAGTCAGTTCATGTACCCGGGATAAGTCCTTGTCCCATTGCCAGGGGATCCACAAACACATCAAGTCACTCAACTTTCACCTACATTCAGAGGGCCTAGTTCGGTCTCATGCAGGCTCCCCAGCTGTCAGTCAGGAGTTACCTTCTAAACCCACTGGAGGGGGTGCCTTCTAAATGCTTCTGGGGATGCCTTCTGAACCCTCTGCGGAGTAGGTGCCTTCTAAACCCTCCAGAGGGGGAGGCCTTCTAAACCCTTCTGGGGGTGCTGTGCCTTCTAAACCCTCTGGAGGGGGTACCTTCTAAACCCTCTGGAGTGGGTGCCTTTTAAACCCTTCTGGGGGTGCCTTCTAAACCCACTGGAGGGGGTGCCTTCTAAGCCCTCTGGAGGGGGTGCCTTTAGGATAGATAACTTTCCTTCCCTTCTATTCTAAGTCTGGCAGATGAAGTGAAGCTAGTTAACACTTACAGGTAACAAAGATTCCTGAGAAAACAGGAGTCTTGGAGACTCATTCAGGTTGAAGCACCCCAAGCGTTTGTTCTGGAAGAAGTAAGAATTGAACAGAGCTGTGCAATGTGCAAGACAGGGCAGATCTGCAGGAAACAGAGCTTGGAAAAGGGTATCGCAGACAAGAGGACAGGGTGTCGGAGGTAGTGGGTAAAAATTTCTGGGGAAACTGTGAACCTCCTATCATGACTTCAACATTCTATTGGGAAGGAGGATGGAAATGTATCAAGGAAACACTCCAAAGTCATTCTTATACATACAAAGTGAGTGAGTGAGCTAAACACACACACACACACACACACACACACACACACACACACACACACAGAGAGAGAGAGAGAGAGAGAGAGAGAGAGAGAGAGACAGAGAGACAGAGAGACAGAGACAGAGAGAGAGACAGAGACAGAGAGAGACAGAGACAGAGACAGAAAGAGACAGAGACAGAGAGACAGAGACAGAGAGAGACAGAGAGACAGAGAGAGGGAGAGAGAGGAGAAATAATGAGATCTGTGTCTTGCGGATTTGAAAGGAGAGCAGAAAAGGAAATGGAGGGCAAGTCTGAACCTAGGAAAACTTGTTGGGAGTTCTCTTAACAGTCTAAAGTGCAAATGGATTACAATGTGAACAGAGTGAAAAGAGAAAGACCGGTTGAAAGAGCGGGAAGGAGGGCACGAGGGAGTTGAGAAAGAAGCTGAGTCTGACATGCTCCTTTGTAAGCATGTGCTGACCTGCAGCAGTTCTGAGAGAAGGCTCTGGACAATGGAGAGGTCGGAGTGGGCTAGAAGAGCCACCGGGAGCTGTAGAGAAGGGTGAAATTTAGGCTGTCTTCCAGATGGGTGGAAAAACAACAGACATGTGAACAGAAAACAGAAGGAAGATCCCAAATCCAGCATTCAAGGGGCTAGGGAGGAGGCTCAGATGGCACCTCCTGCGCAAGCGTGTGGACCCGAGTTCAAGCCCCTATCCTTCACATAAAAAGCCAGGCATGGCTGTGTATGCTTGCAACCTTAACACTGTGGGGAGCAAGCAGTTAGGAGGATCATCGGGGCTGGTTGGCCACCAGCTTAGCTCCAGGTTCAGGAAATGACCCTGCCTCAAGGGAGGAAATGACCCTGCCTCAAGGGAATAGGGTGAAGAGTGACAGGCCTGGTCCTCCACATATGCATGCACTATGTGAGTACATCTCACACACCAAAGGCAAGAAATAGCAAAGACTTCAAGCTAAAACTTAGAGCTTACTAAGGAAGTGATTAGCTAAATAAAACAATAACTTGATGAATTATCATAGAAACAGGATCACAATTTGTAAATTTGGGCATATTAGTTAGCATTAAACGGCTATGTTTTCTACAGAAGTCATCTTTCAGCCTATATTTTGCAGATAGGGGATATATTTTACAGGGGCATATGGCTTACATCGTTGCTGACAATCATGAAGCAGGATCCTGAAAGAACAAGAGTTCGACACAAGTCCACAGCTAGAACTGAGTGTGGCCTTGGACGGGAGACAAATCACGTATGCAGTTTCTTCAACAGCTAACTGAAATGGAGCTTTTCTTAAGCCACAAAAGTAGCCAACAAACCACAGTAGTATTCGTTCTATGGATAGCTCTGTCTCCAAGAGAAGCTGCAGGTATTTGAATACTGTGTTATGGTGCAGTGCATTATCTCCAAATATAGTTTATGCTAGTTGTCACATACATTTAAGAGCAGACCTGCTACTAAATCACATCATTTCAAATGCCACTAGAGAAGCATAGATGCCATTGTGTCATAAACTGGTTCTTTAATACTTTAATAATGTCCCTGAATTTAAAAACATTGTCTGAGGGGTGCTTAGCAGATGTAAAACAAAAATTCACAGCAGAAAAAAAATTAAAAATGTGTTTACTCACTGGCTTTGGAGGACAGTGGTAGCCAGAGAATAAACCCGACTTTGGTGTATCACAGTTTCCCTGGTGAAAATACTTTGCCAATTCCGAAGATTCAACATGAGCTCAGGCACAATCAGCCTCTGCACATTAGCAAGAGCCACCCCCAACATAACGTCCATTCATCAAAGGTACATGTCAGCAAATGTCATGGAGTGAATAACAGAACTCCATTGACTTTCCACTTACACAGAAATTTGGCAAGAAAAGTCTGGGAGTCCAAGAGGAATATCATTTAGAGCTGGGTAATATTTTAAACTGTGACAGGGAATGACATTTTATTAGGTGTGCTTTACTGACATCCTCTGCAGAGAATGAACCATTTTTCTATCTTCAACTAATTCATATGTAACAGCCAGTACCCACGTGATCCACGCCTGGACCCTGATTTTGTTATGTAGTGTATTTTGTGATATTGTTTTAATAGAGTGAGCTGACAAGAGGCAGCACTCAAAAATACTGCTGAATTGGTATTTCTCTGCACCCCGTATCAGGGCAGTGTGCTTGACAGCAGCATTGACCAGCCTGTGAGGGAATCTTAATTTAGAAACAGAGTTAAGCATGTCCAAAGGCCTCTAATCCTGACTTGATGTTGGGTGCTGATGCTGCCCATGCTCCCTCCTGATGGAGAAGTGAAATCATGGTGTCTATACAGAAGGGGCCACTGGAAATGTTCTACCCCATGGAACACTTTCCTCATTGACACCAGAGTCGTTTCCAGGCTGATCATTTTCAGTCTACCATGAGTTTCCAGCCTCCTACTCGAAGTCTTCAAAACAGTGCCACAGAAATCGGGCCAGCTGCGTCTTCCTTTTCCGATCATTTCTGTGATATGTCACCCATCTGGTTATCTCCTGAGCCTCAGATAAGTCCCTCCAAAACACATCCTATTGTTTCTGACTACTTGTAATTATAAAACGAGCCAGATCAGATAATAAAATACTTTCCATTGGCAATCTTTGCCAAGAATGTTAAATTGAATAATGCAGTTAAGGAAAATTTAACCAAAAATGTAATTGTAGGGTAGTTTTTCTTTTTGCCTAAACTATCATAAAAGGGCAAAATATTTAAAAATATTTTAATGTTGGGGTCCAGCTCCAGAGTGTGAGCTTCCTCTTTTCATTTTCTTCTCTTTATAAGAACTAGTGTCAGACACTGTCCCACAAATTCTGGTAACTTCCATCACAGATTCTAACATCATCAAATATATATGTATAGCAGAAGTTCTTCTGATACAACAGAGACTACTAATTAAAACACAAACTGCTTCCAGCACCATATTGTAAAGTGTAAATGTACAGTAATTTACATGTTTTGATAAATACAGTTGACGTGTTTGATACCTAGACTGAAGCATTGTCTTTCATTTTAGTTATTTCTTTAGCATGTGTTTCTGTGTGTATACAGGTGTGTGTGTGTGTGTGTGTGTGTGTGTGTGTGTGTGTGTATGGTAGTCTGGCTAGAGGTGGACATTGGGTATTTTCCTCAGTTGCTC